GGGGCGCCAGCGGCCGCCCCAGCCATGCTGTGCTATGTGACGAGGCCGGACGCGGTGCTGATGGAGGTGGAGGTGGAGGCGAAAGCCAACGGCGAGGACTGCCTCAACCAGGTGGGAGTGAGGGGCCGGGCGGGGGTCCCGGTCCCCGGAGGCTGGGGGGCGTCGCAGCCTGGGGGCCAGCAGCTCTGTTTCTGCTGCGACCGCGGCGCCGGGGGAATTGCGCCCCAGGCGTCCGGCCCGCGCCCCTTCCTCCCCACCGGCGCGGGGCACTCATTCCTCTCCCGGCGCGAAGGGCGTGCGTGTGGAGCGCGCAGAGGGTGCGCGCGGCAGGGGCCCCCAGGCTGGGGGCGCGGGCGCAGCGGGTAGCTGGAATTCGCCACCCAGCCTCCTCCCCTGCAAGCCGGCACTTTCCCGGAAAAAGGCGGCCCAGCACACCTGCCGCAGGTGTGTGCGTGATGCCGCCGGCCCGGGCCGCCGCGCCCGGCCGGGCAACGCCACCCGCGCGCCCCAGGATGGGGTGGCTCGAGGCGGTTAGGAGCTGCGAGGTTCCCCAGCAGGCAAGCCGGGCCCTTCTCTCATGCCCCGTCTCCACTGCTTCTCCATCAGTGGACCGTTCACCTACACCCCCGGATTTGCAGGGCACGAGAGGACGGTAGGCTGCGGTCGTCCACTGCCCCGTTGTCTGTAAGCGTCTGTGTCTTTAAGAGCGAACAGTTCCAAACAGCGCGTAGTTGGTATGGCAGGCAGCCGAAAGGATGCCAGTGGAAACGCTGTGTCCTCAAATCCTCTAGACCTGAGACGTTTAGAAACGACTTGGAAGGCTTAGGGGACACTTGTGGCGTGTTTCCTCAGTGTGTTTGTTTTGGGAATCCAGATGGTTAAAACCGTCCAGATAATAAGCTGCCAGATCATCGGTGCAGCTTGTACTGGCGGAGGGAATTCCAGTGATTGGCATCGGAGAAATACCCAGTAATTTCCCCTCTGTCTTTGAGATCATTTTGAGGACACTTTCCTCCTCCTGCCATCGCCTAGCCTGGTAGCAGAATTAGTGCTTTAGCACCCCCAGAGCCTAGAACGTTGTCTTTCCAGCTTACAGGAGGATGTGTCCCGCCTTAAGCTTGGTGAGAAACAGCCACAAAGGTAGTCTCAGTCCCAGCCCTGGGGTTGCTTTGACCTCTCACAGGTACCAGGTGCTCACCTGCGCTGTTTCATTTCTGTTCTAGGTGTGCCGGCGATTGGGAATCATAGAAGTGGACTATTTTGGACTGCAGTTTACGGGTAGCAAAGGTGAAAGTTTATGGCTAAATCTGAGAAACCGGATCTCCCAGCAGATGGACGGGCTAGCCCCTTACCGACTCAAACTGAGAGTCAAGTTCTTTGTGGAGCCTCATCTCATCCTCCAGGAGCAGACTAGGTAAAGTAGCGCTCAGATGAACCCATGTCAGACCTAACTCTCATCCCACCTGGAAGGGGCCTTTGCACCTTCCAGAGATGTTTGCAGGCACGGCTGCTCGGATACAGTGAGTGGCTGCAGAACTGGAGTTTTCTCCGGTGCAGTGCAGCCCTTTGGTTGAGGTGAAGGAGCAATGTAATAGTTGGCCCAGGTGCCTTTTCCAGCTCTTCTTTTGATTTTTCTTGCCTTTCTAAACTTAATGGAAGAGTATGGTGGAATTCTTACAGATAAACACTTGAGGTGAGTACCACGCACACCAAAATAGAGAGAGAAAGAAAAACCAACTGACTTCCTGATAGCAGCATCTCATGCCCGATAGTAACCTCTGCCTCAGCAGTGTTACTAGAGGTCATTGTAGTCTGTTCTAACAGAAAGCAGGAAACAGTTCCTCTTGGGTTACTTAAACTTAGTCAACTTCTCCAGCCTAGTGTCGGATTACACTGTGTTGCAAAGAGCCTGTCTGACTTCATGCAGAATTTGAAAAGTTTTCAAAGTTTCTTGAGAACTTAATGAAAGTCCTCTTTTAAGGCCACTGTAACTGAGTTCCAAACCACAGATAAATTCCACATGATTGTCAAATTCAAATTAAATTTCTCTCTCTACATTGTCAAAACAAAACAAAACAAAACACCACTGGGAGTGATAGCCCATTGAAGCTGGGGGCTCCTTTTCCAAATAAAATGCATTCTCCTCTGGATTGAGCATAATGCATTTCTCAAGGAAGAGCCAAACAAGGAAAGTGATGTTTAATATTGCTGAAATGTAACAAATCTTTTTGTAGCATGTCAAAAAAAAAAAAAAAAAAAAAGGAAAAAAAAAAAAGAAAAAAAAAAAAAAAAAAAGGAAAAAAAAAAAAGAAAAAAAAAAAAAAAAAAAGGAAAAAAAAAAAAGAAAAAAAAAAAAAAAAAAAGGAAAAAAAAAAAAGAAAAAAAAAAAAAAAAAAAGGAAAAAAAAAAAAGAAAAAAAAAAAAAAAAAAAGGAAAAAAAAAAAAGAAAAAAAAAAAAAAAAAAAGGAAAAAAAAAAAAGAAAAAAAAAAAAAAAAAAAGGAAAAAAAAAAAAGAAAAAAAAAAAAAAAAAAAGGAAAAAAAAAAAAGAAAAAAAAAAAAAAAAAAAGGAAAAAAAAAAAAGAAAAAAAAAAAAAAAAAAAGGAAAAAAAAAAAAGAAAAAAAAAAAAAAAAAAAGGAAAAAAAAAAAAGAAAAAAAAAAAAAAAAAAAGGAAAAAAAAAAAAGAAAAAAAAAAAAAAAAAAAGGAAAGAAAGAAAAGAAAGAAAGAGAAAATAACTTCAAGCTTTGGATCGAAGTTCCAATGTTTTTCATAATCCTTTGGGTTGGAAATTTGCCATGCATGTGAAAAATGTGATTCTGACAATCCCGAATAATGATGAGTTAGCAGTATCCCTTAAGAGTTTTTTTTGAACATGCCATTTTTTGGTTGGTTTGTTTACAAAGGACTCAGAAGCACAGTTTGAAATACTATCCATCTGAGTCTGAAATTTCCACTTTTTGCTTCATTGTGGAGCTTTAAAGATTGAGGGAAATGTTTAATTTTTCTTCTGATGGAAGCTGCTATATTAAATTCTAGTGCTACTGAAAATACCATGCAAAATGTTCAAGTGGTTGCATCCTTAAGGATCTGATAGCTGTCTCTATTAATCAAGACAGGCTGCTTATTTTTTCCTTAAAGCTGATTTGTCAAAGCGTCTAATTTGCACTTCACTGTCATCACTTGCAGCAAAGCAAAATATGTATGTATAAAGCACACCACGTTGGAATTTTTATTGTGTAGTCTTGCTGTGAGTTTGCAATCATTTCTGAGCCTCTAGATACAACCCAGTTTGGGTGACAAATTTATTATTTAAATCTTGGGAGGGCGAGGTGGCATAGTGGCGCAGAAGCTTGGAGGACCAAATACTTCATTTAAACAACGGCTTCGGTGATCATAGCATGATACATGATGTTAGGAATGCATGGAGACTTTATAATGAGCTACTGAGTGGTCTGTACCTGTGTTTTTCTGTCACTGGGCTAACTGTGACCAAATACATTTTATTCACATAAGACATAGACGTTGTATGAATTAGAACGTGAGTTAAATTTCGTATCTTGGTTTTTATTTTTTATTGACTTTGACTCTTGAGGTTCATGGCTAGTAGCACTGAGAAAATGTATGTACCTAGTTCAATGAGGTCATTATAACTGATTTTAATTCCTCTTTGAAATCATTGAAAGTGAACATGGTCCAAACTTCTGACTTGCTTTTAATGTATTGAGGAATTTTACTTGTTCGGTGTCATTGGCTGAAATTCAGAAGTCTAAGAAAATGCCATGTAAGGTTTATGTAGCATTCCACTTAATATCGAGATAAAGTGATTAGCATTGATGTCTTTTAATTAGGACAGCACAAGTTGCAGTTTACAGTGGACATTCTTTTGCATGATGCGATACCATTGGGGGAAAAACTTACTTAATGTCCTGTTAACAAAATAAGGCTAGTTGAGAGACTTTTTGATGCCACGAATGTAGAGCCGTTCTGTGTGTGTGGTGAGTAAGCTCAGTTTGAACAATCAGTTATAAGAGGTGATGTTTTACTGTCTCCTCTAAGTCAGATCACGAGGGCATGTTTAGTGTCCTGAACCGGTGCCTTCTGGACCATGGCAGTGGCTGCTCACGACAGCGCTGGACTAACACGGGGCAGCAAGATGTTACCAGTCGGGTTTGCCTCAGATTAGGGAGTGGCAGGAAAGCCTGTTTGTCATAGGAGTGCCCTGGGGACCAGGGAGGAGCCCTGTAATCTCGTTCCAGGCCTGCCACTGGCAGCCAGCTCTACCCGCTTCCTCTGCATATTTTTCTGACAAGAACGCTCAGGAAGTGGGCTTAGTCCTCCCTAGTGATCACTTTTTTATCTTTGTCTCTGCTTCCTCTTTATGTTATTTTTCTTAATGTCTTCCTAAACATATTACTGTTTCCCTGAAGACAAAAAAACAAAAACAAAAACAAAGTCAAGACCAGCAGATGCCGTAATGGTTATGTCGCTGGACTCCCACATGACCTACCGCATTTCAAGTCCTGGACCCGACAGCTTGAAACTCAGGCCAGGTGTGTGTGTGTGTGTGCGCACGTGTGTGTGGGTGCCCAAAATCCCGACATGAGAATGGAGAAGGGATTGCAGCATGGCCACCCCCCCGAGGGGGGTGATTTCTGCTTTCTATATCTCAGTCTCTCTGTCTCTCCAGCAAGTGCTTGCACCCTGTAGCAAAAATCTCTCTCTCTAAAAGGAAAAACCCGTGTCGAGTGTCTGCTCAGACTTGGAGATGGAGTCTGTCTAGCCTCTGACTGGCCCTCACAGGTTTGGCGGTTCCACCCAACTCCTCACATTCGCTTTTCAGTGGGGGCCTGAAAAGTAGCAGGAGCGTCTTATTCCAATTCAGCTGGCCTGTTTCAGAGTTAGAGACAGCAGGTATTTTCAGCAGATGTTCGGATTAAAACGAGACAGGGAAACAAATTAATGCATTCTGGAAGACGGTCTGAAATAATAACCATCTTGGAAATTCTTGCCTTTCAAAGGCTTTTAGTTCCTCGCAGTAATTCAGACCGGATTTTGTCAACAGTTTCCAAACCAGAGATTAGAGAAGTGTATGCCTCGTCTTCACAGTGGTAATTATGCCATCCACTGCCAATAAAATCTTTACGTGAAGGGAATTCGAAAAGTTCGTGGAAAAAATGGTATTAAAGTAAGAATTTGTTTTGGTGCAAAAAAAAAGGTTCCAAATCTATGCATAGCTTTTGCGTAATTTGTATTTTCTTTTTTACAATTTATTTTTGACGAGCAAATCAAGGCTATCACCGAGTACATCATTTTCAACAGAGAATTTTATGTACTTGGATCTGTTAAGCATTTTTTTTTCCCTTTGCTCCTCCCACCCACCCCCTACCGCCCACTCCCCTTCTAGTTCCTTGAGCACTGGAAGTCCCCTCGTATTTCTCATGAGTTGGACACGTTTTAGCGGAGCTCTGTGGCCTTTGCTGGGGACAGTGAAGGCTTAGGTCAGGCTCGCCAGCACCCGCATTCTCCTTT